GTATATCATTATCATGATTGCCCACATAACAGTTATGACACTGAATTAAAAACATTCCATAGAAAGATTTAAATGGCAAGTCAAATTAGGATCTTCCTTTTCCTCCCTCACTCATCACAAATAAAAACTTAAGATCAGTTGTACTCTCTGGTAGACAGATGCTATATTGCTGCTTACAAATAAATGGAAAAAGCAAGAGATTTCTGTAATTTTTACTTTTATGATAGTAAACATTGGCACAGCACTAACTTCCAACAGTTCCAGAATGAATTGCAAAATAGCATGGTATTTTACATAACTCAAAATATTAATTTATAATCTCTTCCCCTCTCCCCCCAACCCCCAAGTATTTTTACTTTGAAAAATTTAATGACTTAGCAGAATTTGAGAGCAGAAGGTATAAAAAAAGTGATAAAGGGGGTGCAGAAATTAGCAGAGGTGGCACTACCTGAAAGCTCATCAGAAAGGGGAGTGAGAACAATATCAGGCAAGAAGGGTTTGGAAGTATGGATCAGAACAGGAGCACTTTTAGCACTGCGTATATAGGCCGATGGCAGAGCACATTCACCAATGGATCGGCTTCTCATGGCTTTAAAAAGGAAAGAAAGAAGTGGGGAAGGAAAAAAGAAGAGTGACTATAATGAAAGGCTTGTGTCACAGAAAAAGCAGCAACAGAGAAAACAAAGATAAAAAGGAAGAAAATTCAAAAATTAAAACATTTCAGCACGGCAGATATTGGCAGAGCTGTAAGAAAGAAAAAATTCAGTGGACACACAGGACATTTTGAATTTTTAACTTTTATGTAAAGCAGAAACAATGCCTTTTTTACAACAATTACAGAGATATTGCATTCAAAGTAAAGTAATTAACACTTTTTCCCCATTGCATCAGAGGCTGAAAAATCAAAGTTGAAGTCACTCCACAGGCACTCACAACTTGATTTTTTTTTAACAGAAAAAGCAACATACACTACATGTGCATTTTTCTAGTTCCTTTGGTGAAAGAGCATCTTGGAATTTTATACAAACCCATACTCTTGAATTCATGATTCTCCAAGAGAGATTCATAAGCACAAGGAGAAAATGACAAGTTCTGTGTGGAGAAATGTGCAATACAACCTGTTATAGTTCCACATTAAAAATGAACTGACTGAAGTGAAATGGTTTGAGAACAAAAAACATTAAGTTGTTTCTTATCCATACCGCCTGGCTTTTAATCAATACTGGATAAACCTTGCTAAACTGATCCTAATTCACCTTCTCATATCTCTCATCCTGCCAACAGTTCTACAGAATGGAAAACAACAGTAGCAACAATATCAAGGTTGTATCTCCACCTCTTCTAATAGATTTAAAATTAATCTTTATGATGCTTGTTTTCCTTTGTCAGAGTAAGACAGAGCAAGAACCAATACTGCATACAATCTCGAAGTACACTTGAAGTTCTTCAAAAAGAAGACTTCACTGTTTCAAGCAACTTACTCCTTAAACTATTGCAAATTGGATAATTTGTTTAAATATAGTTGCTGATGAACTTCTTTTAAGGATACTTCAGTGTATCTTACATAAATACTGTCAATACAATATTTCAGCACAATATTTCATCAGTCTTTGAACTTTTCCATATATACTTACAAAACAACATGAAATAGAGACTTAGAATCTTAGTGCTCCTGATCTGTATAGGAATCAGCAGTACATGAACAGAGCACAGTGAATGCTGAGCACATCACACTCCTAAATCAGGTTAAAGAATTGTCCCTAACAGCAACGTGCAGGTAACTTAGGTGGGTCAATGCACATAGAGCAAAAAACACATTTGACAAATGCAGCACAACTAAAGTGGAGTCTTAACATCACTTTGAAAAAACAATTCAGAAAGACTGACATTTTAAGACTGAAGTCATTAATTTACAAGACAGAAACCAATTTCTTTTCATAAAGGCAATGATGTGTAAGGCTTTAGTATCTCTTTGTTTAAGAGATAATAAATAATAAAATTATTATAAATAATAAAATTCAGGGTACTGTGATACTTAGATGCATTATATTAATCATTGTACATCTTAAAATTAATGTAGGGAAGAGAAAAGTAACAAGATACATAGTCAATCTTAAGGGTACCTTTCAAATCAAAATGATTCTACGATACTAAATGATCTAAGCTTTTGAGTTTTGATACTGTGTTGAATATAAATCTTTAACATAAAAGTATCCCTTGTAATTTCACTGGATCTCTTCCACAATATTACATTGATACTAGCAAGGGTGGGGCAGAACAACACATTTACAACTTGAAATATGGAAATTTCACTGACTTTTTTGAAGGAAAAATTGCAGTGTACTATTATTGACAGCAAAATTAACTTAAGAGATATTGTAAAAGGAAAATGTGATCTCAGTCAATTACTATTTTAAATAAGATGTGTCACACTCAAATAAGTAATTAAGTAGTGGCAGACTTAATACCAGAATGTGGACTAGATACTGGACAGTTTATAACTTTCTACTATTGTCTCTAGACAAAAGTAGAGCAATAGATCAGTAATTTTTTCCTGGCTCAATATTTTTATAGGACTATAATCTCATGTCTAAGCCAGAAATTCTAAATCTAGCCCTACAGAAGATTTTTCAACCCATATGCATATCATGCTTAAAGGCCCTTTTCCAAAAATTATGTAAGTTCAGGCTAAGAATGTACATACTGCATATCAGAGAAGCTGTGATTTTTAGTAACATACACATACACACGAATTTGGTGCAGCAATAAATGTGTGCTGGCATGAGGATGGTTCAAATAATAGAGGTGCACAGGTGTACACAAAGTGTGTACAACACAAAACAAATTAAAAAGAAACCCCAGCTTCTTCTTACCATAAAATATTCAATATTCTATGGTAATCACAGTCCTCCTACTCAGATATAAAGAATTTATTACTCTTGATCAAAGGAAATATACCACACATCAGTTATCATGCAGTCTGACATATCTGAGGTCTGACTCAGTTCCAGACTTAGCTTGTAGAGCTAATGTTCAAATGAAGATGATCTGAGCAGCAAAATCTTCCACAGAAAATGTAACTTATTTTGACTATAAGCCATTTGTTTTAATTATATGACCTTGTGGTAACTCGCACAGTTTAAGAAGCATCCAAACAGCTCTCTGAGACAATAGCAAGCAACTATTTGCAGACAGTTAAGATATACACTTTTGGAACATACTTTTCATTAGCATTTAAAAAAACTGAAGACTTTGGGATTCTGGCTCTCCTAACTCTTTTAGGGACTTTCATCTTTAAATCATCCTACTAATGCTGTGATGCTTGTTCACAGAGGGTATTCTACCATGTGAATAGAGTTGAAATTTTAACTGGTTACAGTAATACAAACTTGGCTTATTAATATCAAATCTGTAAGATAATTAGAGGAAAGGACAAAACCATGGGAGCTGGGGTACAGTGAAACTAAAATTAAATTAGTTTGCTGCTAACCAGGTCAATATATAGCTTGATTAGGATAAATTTCAGTCATTGAAGGGCTAACATCATATAAACAGCCATCTTTCAAATAGCAGCAAAACAAAACCATTAATAAATTCACCAAACAACATAACCTTCTGACAGAGTATCTGAAATATTAGCAATTTGGAAAGGAGAAATTTTAGCATAAGCTTTACCTTGTTAAGACAATTAAGATTTAAAACAAAAACACCGCAATAGTTAATCACAATTTATCTAGAGAGAAGCAGAAATCACATTTAAAGTATTTGTGATTCATAAGGAGAACTTCAGCCAAACTAGGTGCTGTCAGCATGAGATACAAGAAAAGCTGTGTAGTATTTGAATGCAAGAAAAAGTCAGGAAATTTTGAAATAGTGATGTCATTGTCTGTACTGCTTATAGAACAATTAACTCTCCCACATCAACAAAAGCCCCAAGAGAAAAAAAAAATATTAAAATGGAGAATTTCAATGACTATTCAAATAAAAACTTCGGCTAAATAACCTCTGTGACTTCAAAAAGATAACTGAAAATCTTTCTGGAAAAAGAAAGGAAATGTTAATCTCTGAAAAGCTAACACAATTATATACTGAACTGCCAATATGCATCTCTAGTTTCTAAAACTATGTCAGAATGCACCTGCTTTCAAGAAGTAATAGTGAAGCAACAGCACACAATGACTGAAGCTGCTATTACTAGAGATGGTAAAAAAGCAAGAGATGTTCCTTAAAAAGGTTCTTGTAAACAAAAAAGTAAAATCTGTTGAATTTTCCTTCACGTAAGGGATAGCCCTGAGATCATCAAGATGAGACAACAGGGTGAAGAAATTGGTAGTCCAGTTTACGTTAAGATATTCTAAGCAACTAATACGAACATAAATTAGTCCTCCTTTGAGCAACCCACTTAGAGCACTGCTAAGCATCATTCATTTCTAACACAGGAAAGAGTATCTGCAGGTAATGAGGTTGAGAAAAAGGTAACTTCGGAAACTGAGAACTGCACACATCTGTACCAATCCTTCATTAATGTCAGGTTCAGGGTACAGTAAAAGACAATTAATTTTATAAACTATGCAGACATACATATTTCTCACGCTTCCCTCAGCACTGTTGGAAAATACTCAACCTATTTCGTGCATTTATGAAAACACACACTCTAAAAGCCTTTTAATATCCTTGTATCCATACATTGATCAAACCAATCCAGATGTCTTCTCCTTCACATATATACACATCAATATTATTTTTCCAATCCAGCTTAAGGATGTAATTAAACTCATTAAGAATTAATACGACTGCTCTACTTTCATTTTCAGTAACTGTAATTCTAGTAATCTCAAACTATTCAGCTACTCTCAAAGTACATAAGGCTGCAGAATTCGCAAATTTATTAGAGATAGTGGAATTTTTAGAGATAGTGGAAAGGAGTTACCCACATTGCTACAAAAGTCAGTAATTAATTCCTTCTCAAATGTCACATACCAGCTTTTATAGATACATACCAACTGTTTTCTGTCGTACTATGCTTCTTGCCTTTTCTGTTCCAGGAGAGCCAGTGGTTGTAGCACTGCGTTGTCTCATTGGTGCTTGTCCAGGTTGATCACGGCTCCAGCCTCTAGAAAAGGACTTATCAACAGAAGATTTTGGGAATTCATGCCCAACTCCTGCAAAAATAGAATAGGAAATCTATTAACTTGTGTTGTGGTATCATTAGAGATTTCTAGTTTTGTTATTTCAGAGAGTTTTAAAGCTGCATAGAATAAATTAAGCTATCAAAGCCAGCATGATTTCAAAAGCTAGACAGCTCATTACCAGCTTTTAAATATATCAAGTCACTCAGTCAGCATTAACACTGAGGGATACTCAAACTTTTTCAGAACTGTTGGTTTTATTAAACTATTGTGATTTTCTTTTCTGACCAATCAAGTGCAAAACCACAAGAAAACCAGGTTTACAAAGATAATAGCCTGATAAAATGTGTAACTAGAAATCTTCCCTTTGCTGTTCCTATTAGACAAGACACAAAATAATATATTACAAACTATTAATATTGTGGGGTTTTTCTAAACAATTTTGTGATATTTGAGGAACATGAAATAAAGATTATGAAATATTTTAAAACTAAATGCAAAAGCAAAAAAATAGGATGATGGGCTCAGAAAACAAGGCTCTTTAAAAATTCACAAAAAATGCTAAACAAATATTTAGAAAAGATAGAACAAATTCAGATTTGATATTTATATTGAACTAAAGAAAGCTCATATGAGGAGCTATCAAAAGTAACTATGTAAAAAGAATGTGAATGTATTTCCTTATCCACATTGAACTCATATAATAAAAAAATTATACTGAATTTATAATAATTAAAAGGGTATCCTCTCAAAATATGAGCCATTGTACAACATGTTCATTATTATTAGCAAATGAACAGGGCAAAATAAATTTGTATTTGGCATAATTTGTATGATATTTATTACTTCCAAAGCTGGATTTAACTCTGCAACTCACATTCAACACGGAGGCTTTCTCTGGAACTCTATTACTGAAGGCTAACATAAACTCTTCTCATGTGGCTCTGTATGGGTGATACAGATGATTCAAAATGGTTTCTATGCCTATATTCAAATAACTACACACATTCTTATCCCACATCAGACTTTTTCCATAAACTGTGTCTTTTGCATGAAAAAGGAAAGCTGCATAGTATATTAAAACAAACATACGTGTACCGGAACAAACTCTGAGGGTCAACTACAGAGAAATCTGTTTTTGTTCAGTTGCCACACACCAGAACAACAAAAGAAAAGTATGAAGAATGCCTCTGCCCAAGATGATAAATTTGGAAGTATGTTACATGTTTTTAGCAAATACAGCCTACAGGAACATCCTCTTTACGAGGGGGAATCCACAGGGATTACTTCTCACTGACAAACTCTATGATATTAATAGGATTTGACTGGAAAACCACATCAATGAGAACACAGATTAAAAAGTAGACTACAGATTACACTTTTTTCCCATATTTATTACTCACTCTAAATAAAATCGTGGCTCTCACTATGAGATCTCCAAGCACTTTTTAAAGGAGAACAAAATTGGTACCCATGTTCTAATGAAGTGGAAACAGAGACAGAAGTGATTGCTTACGGTCACATGCAGAAAGTCAGTCTCTGATCTGGAAGGAGAATCCATGTTTTGCAACTCTTCCTCCAGTCCTCCATCCAGGACAGACTTTCTGTCCCTTACCCATTCCAGAACCATACCACTATAAGCAAGCAGCCACCTCCTCTCCTCAAATTGTGTTCTACAGGTATTCCATGCATTGTTTAGGAACCAGTTTAAAAAGTGGATTATTAGAAGTATCCTTTCTCTTAAGGAGTCCAACAAGGTCACTTTGACAATATGTATCTTCACTGTGGCTTAGTACCCAAGAAAACTTATGTTCATCTTACCTTTCATCTTTAAACAACATTCATTTCATTTCAGGATCAATATTCCAATTACACTTGCTACAACCACTTGCTAGCTAGCTAATTTTTACCAGATGTATAATCTTCATTACTTTCAAGAAGTTATGACTGGGAGTCAACTATCTAATTGCTTGGATAAAAGGAGAAAGGCATAACCCATCTCAGTGTAACATTTCAGGTTAAATTCAACACTCCTTTAAGAACTACATTACATATGCGCCTATTTGCAGGACTTGAATCTTAACATAAGGATTTTGTGGCGGTTCCAAAAAGCAGCCTTATCTTAAAGAAACTGGGGTATTTCAGGTGACAGAGATGCCTAACTAGGTATACTAAAAAGGCTAGACCAAAATTATGCCGTGCCAAAGATCTCACTAACCCAGCTCAAATTCAAATGACGTGTACACAGTGTTGTCTTACCTTTGCCTTTGTGTTTTTTCTGCTTCTGCTCACTTAATTTATCCAATGGCAGGTCACTGAGGTCGAGGCTATACAAGTTTCTAGCTAACACCTTAGTTAGTGTCTCCATTGTCAGTGACCACTCAGTGGCCAGCTCTTCCCAATATGTCAGTGATGACATTACAGACAGCAAGTCATCCCAAAGTTCTCGAGAGATGTAGACATTTAGATTCGCTTTGATCCAAGCTACTATAAGAGTCTAAAAAATAAAATAAGAAAAGTTGGCTTCTGAAAGTAAGATGATGACATTCAAATGTTATTGCTTAAAAGGAAGCTTCTAACTATCCCCAAAATATCTCTGTAGTCCTGCCATAATTTCCTCACCAACACACACACACTTCTCAGGAATTATCCAAGTGTTATTTCAACAAAGGCTTCTGACTTAAACACAGCAACAACTGGTTTGACTCATGAAAGATCTTTCAGTATTTTAAAGAGTTTTGTAATGCTGTTGTCCATTAGTTCTCATTACATTTGTATCGTGTGTATCCTCTTTTTTTCCTACTAAAGAATCTGAAGACCTTATAGATCCTATTTACGGAGAAGCCACTACAGCAGCAGTCTGCAGCTATAAACTTTGAAACAATCTGCTGCAGCTTACTGTAGAGAAAAAACAACAGATCATTTAGTTAGGCATGGATGGCACAGAAAATTTTGTGCTGACTTGAGCTAATTTTACAACGGCAACAGGCTAAAACGGCACACATTCCCAGTTATCCTCACTCAACTAAAGGTTGGCAATATTTTAACTTCACAGTACCCCAAAAAACATTGTCACAGTGTCATTAAATATAATACAGGAAGTATCAAATGTAGCCAGCTCTTTAACTCACGCTCTTCACATTATCTAGGCAACATGATCAATGACAAACCAACCCACAGTAGTTTGTTGCATCTAATCTCTTGGTCAAAATTAAGCTGAATTAGTTAAAGTAAATTTATGTTTTAATTGCCTGGAAAAGAGGTCCTGCAAGTCTTCCAGCTAAAGTGGAGTTTTTTCTTCCTTGATACTGCAAAAAAGTTTGGGGTGGTATTTTCAGCACAGATTCAGTAACCCTGAGCAGTACAAGCAGCATCTGTTCCCTGTAAAACAATATTAGAGTCACAGTTTTGTTATTCTTCTGGATAGATCAGGATACTTCTAAGACAACAACCAAGCCTGATTCACTCAAACACATTCCAAACAAGACATAGTGATAACAAACAGCCTAACTTGGAAGTAATTTCTCTTGCAAGAGCCATCTGCTTTTCACACTTGAGAGTGAGGAATCCCTGTCACCCTCTAGTTAATCTTCTGGCATGTCATTAAAGAGCTAACATCCTCAGTGGCCTGAAATTACAGGCAAAGTTTTAATTAAATTTCCATCCAGAGCTTTAACTTTCTTTTTTTTGTTGTATGAATGACAGGTTTTGGCAATGTTACGTTACCATTAGCATAATTCATTAATTATTTTGTGTGTCACAACCTTTGCCATCATAGTCTAGAATCACTTTTTTACACTGATGTAAAACTGAGGAAGAAAATAGTAATCTAGTAAAATACGTTCTCTATTATCACTCCCAAATTTCCCAGTGCCTAGCCTTTAACTGACTCCATATTTCCTCACAACAGGAGACAAGCTTCACATGACATGTACTGCCAAGCCCTTCTTACTCAAGAGTTCAGGAAATACAAGAGACAGACTGAATGCAAGTCAAGTTAAAATTGAGTAAATCAGCCATTTTAAATCCCCTCGCTTCCTTACAGTGGAGAATGGTGGCAGTATACTACTTCATTACAGACAGCTATTTAGAAGAGAGGAGAAAATAATATAAATTAATTTAAAAGTGGGGTCTCTTGTACCTGCTAGGCACCTTAAGCACTGCAAAGGAACAAAACAAATCAAGAGAAACCCAAATCTGATTATAAGTTATCCATGCTTATCTGAGGATTGTTTATTTTTAAATAAGGCTGTGAAGCTTCATGTGTATATTCATATTTTAGTACTCTGATGACATTTTCCAGGGCATCATGTGTCAATAACTTCTTAATGATAGCCTGTATATCCTACCTTACTCCTTTTTTCACCGAAAGCTTAGCTGCCTCAAACTAGGTGCATACTATTGACTTTAACAGAGCAGATAACCTCTTCCCCTGTGGTAAGCTGTGATATTAAAGTCTGTATCTACTGACATAGAGAAACAGTTTCACGTAGTATCACCCTACTGTATTTACTACCAAGTCAGTTTTCACTTTTACCTTGTAAACTAATAATCTAAAACAAAAGCATTAATATTTTACCATGTCTTCTTGTCCATAGTCACTTGGACTACCATGTGACGGTAGATATTAAGAATGCGTTTACACATGTCAGTGTGTTCATCCAGCAGGGCTTTGATTTCATTTGCAGGTTCAAGAAAGAATATATTTGAAGAATTTATTATAAAAATCTGTAAGCAGAAAAGAGTGGATGTTATGAGCCTGAAGCACCTCGATGTTTTCAGCAATTCAGTTGATAGCATCCAGGAAGAGAAAAATCTATGATTAACAGAAAAGGCTGCATAGGCACTCAGAAGTATGTATTTAAATATAAGTTAGCTTGATGTGATAATAAAGCAACAGTAAGACTGATTTATTTCCCATTTTCTTCTACAAAAAAAAATTGTATTTTTGCTGTCATACACGGATGGTACAACAAACTACACAATACAGTTATTTTCATATGATGGACAAAAATGTCCCATTGAAGAAGTCCACTGCACAAAAGCTCCACTGGTAAGCCAGCAACTAACTAGTATAATATATGCTAAACTACTTGAAATAATCCTAATACACAGTGTGTACTTCAGCACAACAAGGCCTGTATTAGATTCTAGGAAACTAAAGCATTAATGCCACTGTGATCAGTAAGGCTTAGCAAAAGTAGGAAACAGGATACTTTTCCAAAGTGTTTGATTGACTTCAGTGGACAGTGAATTGGGGCTTTCACAACGAAAATTATGAAAATGAGGTAGGCAAGGACACTGCAGGAGTCAAAGGAGCTACTTCTGAAGTGTTATTTTTTTTAAGGTTAGGAAATATTTTAATTACAGTGAGCCTTAGATTTCAAATTATTTTTCGTTTGTCTTTCTTAATCCACATATACAGGAATAATTTGCTTTAAAACTGCAAGTTCCCTCTACTGAGAGCTTTGGATTTTACCAACTAAGAGCTGTTAGTATGCAGCTTTACATTCACTAGCCTCAACTGATGAACCTACCCTAAGTGCCTAGAAATAAGTCTATGCAAGAACTAAATGGGAAGAAAACTCAAGACTGAAGTCTTAAACTCTTGATCTACAAAAAAAGTCCAATGCGGTTCCAGGTTGAGATACCTCTCAAATTCAGACATGGTCCTGGATTAGAATGAGGTCTTTACTAAATTTCAGGCTAAAAAAGGTATCTGCTGGTCAAATGAACCTTTGTCTGAAAATGTCAACATGAAGAATCTCCCAGACATTCACAGGTGTGATAAAGATATTTCACTGTTTCTTTTCTCAGAAACACTATTCATAATATTCATTGTACGCAAAGATTATTAAGCTTAAATTATTGTAACATATTTGAATTTAAACATGATTTCAATTACAAAGTTGATTTCTATATGTAAGAGTGAACAGCACAATTGAAAATCCTACTCAGAAAATAATTCAATAACGAAAATAATGAGTTTTATTCGGTATTGTCACCCACATTATAAGTGCATATAGTTGGAGTGGAAAATGAATGCCTTTTATTTTATTCAGAATCAATTTTCTTTTGGAAAAAAGAATATTACAGAGGCTAGAGTCAGATGTACATCTCTATGTATGGTATGTGCATGCTCATATTATACATAAAATGCACACATTTTATATGACCGTAAGAGCATTTTAAAGACCCTCAAATTATACATGATTCATTTTCCATATCCTCAAATTCAGGAAAGCATTTTGCTGAACATTTGAAATTAACACAATTTCTACCCTGTCAAATTTCCTAGAAGCAGTTAGAAGACTTATGTTATGCAATTTCTGCAACTCTCTGATCCTTTAAATATATCACTGAAGTAGAGTTGTGGTGTCTGATCAAATTTTTCAAACACTTAGGTACTCGTCCAATCCATAACTCAGATAAGTATGAGAAAATATCCTTGTACACCTTATTATTCAGATTAGGGAAACTGCAGGGTCAGATGTTTTGTGTGTGGTGACTAACAGCTTGTAAGAAAAAATATTCTAAGCATTCTCATTAAACACCTAGAGTAATTTGAAAATGCAAATTATTTTTTTCTGTGATACAATGCAGAGCAGAATGCTTGTCCAGATGCAAAATTAAAATATTTTGTTACTTTGTTATCCAACACTTGTATGTTGCCCTATGAAAGGTCAATAAAGATAGAGTCATTATTCTAACACTATCATTGTACTTTTAAAATCCAAAATAATTTTTAAAATTCAGAGATGCCTTGAAGGAGCATGGGATTCCCTTGCAGGAAGCATGCATTATATACCACTCTTTATGTACTGGTAACAAGAAGTTTATTATTACAATGAAAATTAGATATCAAGTCTATTTCATACCTGCAACACTGACTGCACTCCAGCTCGTACATTTTGCTCTTCAGTATCAATTTCGGACATTTTATGCAAAGTGTCTTCGTAACAGCCATTTCTTGCCCAGTTTGAATTTCTAACATGACTGGAGTTCATCCCTTTTTCCTGAAAAATATTTTTTCTTAAGATCCCATAGATTTATAGATGAGTATTCTGGTTTTATATTAAAGGGAAAAAGATACAATAGATATTACATAAAAAACAACGGTAAGTAGATGTTTAAGATGCATCTAAAAGATACAACAATATTTTAAGAAGTTTGTAGCAATTATTTTAAAGTATGTGGATGAAATAACTACTATCCTCTTCATCCTTTTATTTGTATATAACTTCTATAGGGCTGAAAGTTGGCCTACTGCATAATCCACATCTTGAATTTATAAAATTATATGGAATTTTAAATTGAATTAACCACATTAAAATTCTAGAGATATTGGATCAAATTGTTAGCCCATTCATGCACTGTTTAATTACCATTGATTTTCCCCAATAGATGCTCTGACGTCAAGTTAAACCATGTATAATCTGTCAAGGAGGCCACTTCTCTGTGTACTGGTGTACGCAAAAGATGCACAAATATTAACCAACAATATTTTACCTCTTCTCTTTCTTTTGCTTTCTCTGATGAATTGTGGTCAACAACAGTTTCATCACAATCTCCAGTTGTGCACTGCATTATTTCTTCAGGTTCTTTCATAAATAAAGGCTTGTCTTCTTGCTGAATCCATTCCTGATACACCTTTACTACTTTCCTCATGGCAGCTGCTTCACATATAGGCAACAGAAATGCCTGTGAGTAGAAAAAGAAAACATAAAAAACCAGTTACAATACTTGGAGTCAACTTGGGTTCTATCATGTACAACTTCTAAGAGATAAGGGGGGGACAATACCACAGCCACTGTAGGATCTTAACAAAAAAACTACTCTTAAACATAAATGTTTGCTCATTTTCTTCATCTGCAAATAAAGAATATGAAAAAATGTTTCAGGAAGAAAACCTGTTAAGAAAGTACTCTGAAAACTTCACTGCCAACGAGAGAGATGTGAGAATCCATACACCTATCCTGCTGAAATTACGACCCAAACGCTCATCAAAAGCATGCAAAACAAATGAGCACATGTTGCCATTAGAAAATCTCCCGTTTACACACATTACTGGTATCCATGTACCTAATTTTTAGCTAAATGAGATTTTATATAACAGTATCCTCAAAATAAATGACTCGCTGAAAAGACTTCAGAATTACTGTTTCAAAAAATCGTACATTTGAGTCAGTGTGGTGGCTGATCAGTGCCCTCTTCAGGAGATGCTCTGTATCTGCTGTGCTGATAACCACCAGCCATAAAGTTTCAACTAACTATAAATACATTAACCAAAGATCATGATGCCTTAAATGTATTTTTAAAAGAACTGATACACTAAACTAAAACATAGTTTTACAGAGTCCATGGTGTGAATGTTGAAGATGCATCGCCCATGTCTTTGAGCAGTGCCCGTCTGAGACAAGTGATATGTTCTCTCTCTGGAAACAGGTATTTTATACCAGTATTTCACTAAAAAGAGCTTTCCTGTGTAGTACAGAATTCAGCTGACAAGTTCACCAGTAACACACGATCAGATACCAAGCTTAACAGTCTTCTGCAAGCCCATATATATTTTTTGTACCCCAGAGTCTAAAATAAGTAAAACAATTTTTCTCCTATCTTCCCACCATTCCACCACAGAAATCTCCTGGCTGGAAGAACTTAGCTCTAAAAATGTTTCAGAAATATTACAAACATGTGGCATACTAGAAATGAACTTACACTGAAAACTTCTGGCCAAAGAATGAATTAAATGAGATTTCATAACCACACATAAAATCCAAATAATATACATAACTCATGAAGTGCCTTGTGAGCAGGACAAAGAAAATAGCCTTGGCTGTTCCTTTTACTAGAGGGTGAATCAATACTTTAGACTCTGCATTCAATGTCTCAGATTCTCTAAACCCTTGAGCGACTGCCTTTCTGAACCCAGAAAAATCCATTATCTCCTTCAGTAATGTGGCCTGGCTCTTAAACTAGAGGAATGGATATGGATAAGCTTCCGACATTGATTTGTCTCGTTCAAAAATACCCCTTTCATCCAGATATACAAGAGTTTTAAAATCTTCTCTCTTCTCTTGTTTGAAGTAATTAGTACCATGCATTTAAATTGAAACTTAATATATTTTTCTTTACTCTTATTCAGAAAAATCTCTTCAACTTTTGATCTACAGCATGGGGCATAAGGGAAGTCTAATCTGTTGTATGCTCTCACATCAAACCTTAAATTACGTATTTTCACATTATAAAGACTTCATATTCTGGCACGCGTTCTCAGTTCAAATTTGTTTAATAGTTTCCAGTTGACAAACACTATTTTGACTATGCTCAGCTAACACTGCCACTGCAGTAAAAGTCAGAAGCAGAAGCCATTACTTTCTATAGCCATCTGTCCCACTCTTCCGGTGAACACTATCAAGGTAAGGACATTGGACTGGTCCTAAAACAGCTCTTTGACACCTGCAGACTCCCACATGAGGCTTAGTTTAGTATGCTTGGTGTAGCTAGTAGCTACAGGGTCGATATAGGAAAAGATCAAACATTCCTGTCTATGAGGAACTATAAAGTCGAAGTTAAATGTTGTCACACTGGTAATTAAAGAAATAAAATTCTAAAAATTAGGAACCAGGAAAACTCTACACAGAAAATATGACAGAATTTTAACTTTTCAATTCTTAAACCTTCAAGGCAACGACTGAAAAAAACAACAGAATTATAGAATCACCTATTAGCAAATGCTCTTGAAAGAAACCCATGACTCAATGACCATTTATGATACAATAATTAATACTCTTGCATTCTATACAGGGTTCTTTACCTGCCGAAAAATCTCAGTTAGAAAATTAACGTTGCTTCTTTTAGAAGAAAAGACTTTCCGGACAATTTCAATATCAGTTAAATGTTCTTCATCAATACTGCAGAGGCTGGAAGAACTTGGTTCTCTCTCTGTTAGAGTACTTGTATTAGAATGAGATTGTTCAGGTTCTGCATTTCTATCCTGCTTATCAGTACTGTCATTTTTGCTGTCCTCTCTTGAAGCCATGTTAGCAGCTGCTCTCTAGAACAAAAATTAAAGAACAGTCCATAGTTCATTTTTAGTACAATAAATGAACAGTACAATTTAAGTTATATAACAGTACAAAGAATCCAGGAAAAAACCCCAACACAACAAAACAAAAACAACCCCAAAAAACCCCCCAAAATAGGATTCACTGCATTTCAAGGCTTCTTACATCTACTTGATTAAAAACAAAACAGTAGAATTTGGGGGAAAACAAACAAACAAACAAAAAGCCTAGCAAGTGCTTCTAACGTGAATTCATAACCAGAAATTTTTTTAGAAATCCCTTTTAAAAAATTCTTCATTAATTGTAATTACTGGTGGAATGCATGCTGCTGACATAACAACTAAGACAAAAACATGAAAATTTGTTTTACCTGAATATTCTTTGGCACATTTTCACCTTCCATCCCAGGAATATGAGGTCCTGTATGAGGTTTTGGCTCAAGCCAGAAAGACACCAACCATCGAATCACAATAACACGAGCCTTAATAAAAGGCTCTTTGGTGCAATATATTGCCTCATTGGTTTCAGCATCTTTCTTTACCATTACATAGTGTGGCTTTGGTCTCATTTGTGGTATATCTGTAAGGAGAGACAAAACATCTTAAAAATATGTGCAGATAGAAAGCTCTACGTAAAAAAGAAATTCTAAAACCGTAAACGGTACAAGTGAACTTTCAGAGGTCCTGGTTTTTTCTTATTTGCTGTTGTACAACTTATCCCAAGATGCACTGAAATTGATGTGAAAGAGAAAATTTCCAAGAGTAGACTGTAAGACTTCAAAAGGCTGTAATTTTCTCCTGGAGGGAGACAATATTGTTAGTCCAGCAGAGAGCAACTTGTTTCTTTTATGCAAAACATCTAATTCTTTAGCTAAAGTATATTACTATAGTCTTACATCCTTGCCTGCACTTTTTTCTAAACAATTAAATACATTTCATTTTTTTCAGCTTTATTAAAGCTACACCCTATACTCAGTATTTAAAGATAACCTACAGCACATTCACCGCCTCACACTTTCATTGAAAACTACAAAGGAGTTCTAAACAGCAAAATAGCTATTAACTATATGGCCTACACCAGAAAATCACTTTTGTACAAGTTTAAGATATTGTCACAATTCTTAATGCATTTATAGCTGTCTAAGTTACTAAGGAACAATTTATCATAATCATATCATTTTACAGCCTTTTAAGAGTCTTATGTGTCACTTATTCCCTACTAGCAAAGCTACTGGGAAAAGCAGATGCAGTTCAGGTCCAAGAATTACCACATTCCCTAATGAATCCCTAGAAAGATATCTGTGCTGGCCTGGAATGACCCACAATAAAGCAACATAATCAGGGATCATTAGTTCTTTACTGATACAGATTGCAATGTCTAACCATGGCAACAATGGAAGAGCTTTAATTCCCAACTGTACTCTTAACAGCAGCTGTAATAAACACAGCCTCTTCTGGCCCTGCAATAGGTGAAAGATGAACAAAAGAGAGAGAAAATCCTGCTCCAACACCATGCGAGTTTCAGCACTTCAGCTATTGCCGTATCTGCACTACCTGATTTTGCTGGATTTAGCTGACAGAGGAAGGGCACAAGTAATTTAACTGAAAGATAATTCTGTGCAATAGCCTTTCAACTGGCTTGCAGGGAATGTACCGAATGATGCCCAGCAGCATGCCAACTGGCAGGAACTGTGGCTATTTGGAGTCTATAACCTACAAATCCATTTTCTCCATCCCATGTTCTACATGATGGTTCAGACTGTTTAGCTCTTCTAGTTTTCTACTGTGCTTGTGACAAAGACACTAACAGTGTCACCAGTATTCCTGAACCCGCTTTAGAAAAAAAGTGACATTCCTCAATGTGGATAGAATTGACATGTGCCATAAAAACATTACAAAGATCAGGGGCACAGGGGGAGATGGATGGACAGTTTTTAAATTGTGTATAATGCACATTGCACATTTCTGCAGGGAACAGCCCAGTTCAACTCCAGCTATGTATCAGTCAACTCAACACTGCAAAGTGTCACTTCTAGGTTTCACAGCCCAAGACCGTATGCAGAACAGTTCTGCAATATCAGTCATCCATCTGAAGCACCTACCAAACTTCTGGGTGCTAATGACATTTCTCTGGGAGTGGAGTGCCAACTCTGCCTCTGGTTCTAGAAGGGCAAGTATGACATCTGCTCCAATACAAAAAGCTGCTGAAAATTTGTCTTAGAACTAATTCTGACATGTACTATGAGAACAAACTCTGCTGCTGGTGTTTCAGTATCATCATTTTCATCTGGTGACAGCACACAAAAAAAAAATCCAACAAAAAGAACAAAAAATGAGGAAGCATAGAAAACTATGGTCCTATCCAGACATGGAGAGGGACAGATTGGACAGAGATGGTATTTCAGTACTGCCTCAACTCTTCAATAGCTCACTATGGTATGTCAGCAAGAGATACATTCCATGGTTTTACAGGCCAGAAGGCAGTTCAAAGATACTAATGGTGGGAGTCAAAGAAGGTGCAAAGTAGTCATGCTGAAGAATATAAAGTTGTTCTCAGTGTATCATCCTAATGCAAGGTCAAGAGTTGTTTTAAGGGATCCACCATAACTTCTGCCAGCTCATGGTATCATAATCCAGGAGGGACAGATCTGGATAGCAGCAAAGAAATAATCAGCTACTATTTATGACAGCTATATATACTTTTAGGCATTTGAAGTGAATAGCGCCTGCTAGACTTCTGTAAAGGTTTCCTTGTTAAGGTTACAAATGCACAACACAACATCCAGCACCAGCATCAAGGATACCCAAGCTGGTATATCTCTGTGTCATTGCAACAGCCACATACAAAAGTAGTAATAAACTCATCATGATGCTGCTAAACCGAGGAATATTTTCAGAACAGACCTTAAAGTAACACCTGCTGGTTTTAATGAAAGCATTATTTTTAGAGGAGAAAATTACGATTCTTGTATACTACCCACCTAAGTGAGTAACAAAAGCATGGAACACTTCTCAAAAAAGCTTAAAAAGAGTTTATTTACTACAAATGAAAAACAGTACATTGTTTTTATTCTATGGAAAGAAGCAGGTTAGTAAGAAAATAAAAAAAATAATGTATCTTAGACAGAGGCATGTATAAAAGCACAAATCAGTGAAAAAAGGAAGTAAATGCAAGGTAGCACAGTATTTGAAAATGAAAATTCTCTCTTGTATCTATGAACAATCAGCAGGTTATGAAGGCTGCAAAACTAGCAGTATTTACAAAAGGACAAGACACTTAGCAGACATGCAGTAAACATGTCTTTGCAGCACACTATATCCTTTTGAAGTTTCATTATATCCTCTCTTTCTATTTCCTCTCAACTGTATTATGTGCTGCAGCTGCTTTGTATCCTTCTTCCATCATTTCTTGTATTTTCATGTTTCTGTTCATCTTGGAAGTAGGTGTCAAGGCTCCAGATGAAGACCCTGACATAAAACCAAAGCAAAAGAGAAGCTTATTGGATTGATTCAAATAGTACAAGAAGAAATATTCCCTTCTCCCAACTTTCCTTCTTCCCTTTTTGTTATCTTTTGGGCCCTCCCTACCCTCTGCCCTTCTCCCTCTGGGAGATGTGATGCAAGCTGATGCCAAAAAGGGCAGGAATTTTTAGGTGGTAGAAGGCGTACACAGGGTAAAAATATAAAAAGGCAAGCAAAAACAGTTATAATGCTAGACACTTGTAGTTTTGACCACGCTTATTTTTTAAGGCAATAAAGGGTTCAGAAAGAATGAAGAATGAAGAGCTGCAGAGAGCTGCAGACAGCCTTCCCTGTAAATGGCAGAAGCCATTGAAATGGCACAGACTACTATGATGGAAGAAACAATGTCCCTGAAATCTATTGGCTGTATCTGCAGTTCTTACTAAGCAGTTTCTAAAGACTATGTTACAGAATCTAAATAAATGTTAAAGACATTCAAAACAAACAAATAATAAAAAAAAATAATAATCTCACAGGCTCTTCTAAGCCTGTACTGCTGAGCTAACACTCAAGCCAGAATTTGAAAAGGGCACAATATTAGCTTCTGGTAACTGGAATATTCAGTGCTTGTTACTGCAACCAACATACTTATCTGAAAGTCTGCCTTGTCAGAAAAAAACAAAATCTCAATCCAATATACTATTTCCAGTGAAGCCCTGTATTAATGCTTGTTTTGATTGTATCTCATGACTTCTACTAAATTACACATTACACTAGAAGCATAAGAACTGGTTTTAGTAGCAGATTCAGCGTGCAAGTTTGTCCTGTTTTCTGCTTAAATGCTATCAGTTTTATTCAGAACAGGCACAGGACTCTTTCCAAATAGGGTGGGAAAATGCATGTCAGAGAAGAACTTCTTAGAGGAGAATAAACTACTACTTACCACTGTTTCTGTTGCTTTTATTACTGTATTCTTCCCCACAATTCTGATAATTGTTGCTGACTTTTCACAGCTTAAGGCACTGACAGTAGTTTTGGAGATGTGCGCCCATTTCTTCTTATTGTTCCCACTGCCCTCTTCTTTACTAAGTCCTTGCAAGTTTCTTGTTCATGGTTCACAGAAAGAGAGAACTACAGAAACACTTCTATGGAAGACTCAACCAAGATCTTCACAAAAAGAGAAAATATTGTTTTCACACTTCTTGTTTGAGGACATCAAGCAGCAGCAAGTTTGCTTTCTCAGCATCGCTTACTATGCCTCTTGTAATTATTTTATCACTGGACCTCTTCAGTATCTTCACAACTCTTGTTCTACTGTTGCTTATGGCTGTATTTATACTGTTTCTTCTCCCCTATATGAGGTCCACAGTCTGTCTTTCCCAGAAGAATATAATTTTGAAACATCCATCTCCTGAAGAAAGCCACAATTCAAATACATGCACATGGACTGGCAGAAATGAAGACCTTTTTAACAAACTTCCCTGACAGCTTGATTTTAGAATATGAAGCTGCATTTGGAGATCACTGCTAATCCTTGCAAGATGAGGCATCAATGGGTAAGAGGAAGAGAAAGCTGTCTGCATTGCTCAAGCAATGAAACGGCAGCTTAAAGCCTATATATGTGGCACTGCTCTGCAAGCAGGAGTCTTGAATTCTATTGGCTTACAACCAATATGTGCATGAGTGAATGCAAACTTGAGATAGCAAAATTAAGATTTGCAAACAGTGTTCTAGTTTAGAATGTACTAAACACATTAGCAAAACTCTAGTCAGGTTTGCTTCACAAACACCTAAAATTCTGCTCTTTAAAACAAAAGATATGTTCTCACACCATCAGCTTTACAGATTGTGTTAAACCTGAACTTCGCCTTCCTACTGCAAGCTCTTGGCAAAATACAGCTGACACAAAAACATAACTAACTTTGCCCTGTCTGAACTATGAGCACACACCACATGATCCAAACACGGTGATTCTGCATAGATAAAGTCAACAGCCCCCAAAGACACTAACACCGTTTATCTCAGCAGCAGTAGTTTCTCTTCAGAGCAAAACTTAAATCAGCAACGGAGGTCACACTGAAGAGCTGTTTTACAGGAACATTTAATTTTTCTGAATCACGTTAATATAGCAAGATTGACTCTAATGAAAGGGTCAGATGCCTTAATGAACTAAATACCATGAACAGGAACCATAACATGTTCTTTCATAAGAAATACTTCTTGAGAACGTTTATGGGCAACATAACTCAACTGGAAAAACTGCTGTGCTATACTCTCCATTAGAAACAACGTAGCGATCTTATCAGCTGTATTAACACTTACCAAGTATAGGGTTATACAAGCTGGTCTCCTTACAGATGTTTGGGAAAATAGAAGGTAAGTAGTATTTCTTAAAATTTGAGAATAAGAATGAAAATCCCTTTTCTTGATTTTCCTTGTTCTTCCATTCTAAACTCTTAACCTTAAAGAAAGAAGTTGAATAAAGTAAACATGTAGGACAGAAAAATGACCAATGAAATATATTCTTCATAAATTATTTCTTTGGAACAAAATCATATGCATTTTAATAAACACTTTTAGAAATATTGAATAGAAAACAGCCAGGAAATGTCAACAAAACAGACTGTTCTCTTCCAAAATTTTGACCTGAACACATCAAATACTGAAACCAATAGGAATACATCTGCTTTCATGGTTGTCTTGCCAAGTCAGGGAGTAAACCCAAAATGATTGGTTTTAATAAAATTATTTTTCTTATGAAACATTTTGACATATAAAGGACAATTACCCATGCTACTCTGAACATGTATTTGACAATTTCTTTTCACACATTTCAACTAGCAAGCATCTACATACTCCTTATAATAGGTACTTGGATTCATCAATGTGGTTGGCAATATGAAACAAACAAAGCTGTCAACCACAAGCAGTAGAAGATAGAACTTTAAAGTTGAATTCACCAAATCCACTTTCATGTATCATAAGTGCTAAGCCTTCCCCATTATGAAATTTCTTCCTGCTAAGAAGGCCAATGGCATCCTGGGGTGCATTAGAAAGGGTGTGGTTAGTAGATCAAGGGAGGTTCTTCTCCCCCTCTATTCTGCCTTGGTGAGGCAGCATCTGGAATGTTGTGTCCAGTTCTGAGTCCCTCAGTTCAAGAAGGACAGGGAACTGCTTGAATGAGTCTAGTGCAGAGCCACAAAGATGACTAAGGGAGTGGAGCATCTCCCTGATGGGGAAAGGCTGAGGGAGATGGGTCTCTTTAGCTTGCAGAAGAGGAGACTGAGGGGCGACCTCATCAACATTTACAAGTATGTTAAGGGGGAGTGTCAGGGTGATGGAGCCAGGCTTTTTTCAGTGATGTCTAATGATAGGAAAAGGGGCAATGGATGCAAACTGGACCACAGAAGGTTCCACGTAAACATCAGAAAAAGCTTTTTTACTGTAGAGAGTGACAGAGCACTGGAACAGGCTGCCCAGCAGGGTTTTGGAGTCTCCTTCTCTGGAGACATTCAAAATCTGCCTGGACACGTTCCTGTGTGATGTGCTGTAGGTGATCCTGCTCTGGCAGGGGGGTTGGACTAGATGATCTTTTGAGGTCCCTTCCAACCCTTAAGATTCTGTGAAAAGCATGATAAGCTCTCCTTCAAAATAAAATCCAGGTGCAGTTTCCATCTTTATCCTAGAGAATCCATCTGCCTGCAGAGCTAGGTAATCTGCCAAGTCTATCATAAATAAACTGCTTTTTCTTCCCCCCCCCCCTTCTTTTTTTTTTTTTTTTTTTTCTCCTTATTTTCTTTTTTCCCCTTCTCTATTACACACTTGAAGTTCACAGTTCTATTATGATATATTTTCTATAATATCTATCTCACCCAACAGAATTCAACAGAATGAGTGACTAATATGTCAAAATTAGCAACACAAAATCCTTTAGAAGAGCTTAACAGCAAAGAAGTAACTATTCCACTTGAAATCATCAGTATCTCCAAAGAGGTTTCAACAAAAGAAAACTTTAGCATCCACATAGTGAACAAGTTCTATGACACCTGCCTCAATGACTTATCTAAATTTAAATATAGTACTACCAATTTATTAGAGAGAGAGCAGTTATCTTCAAGAATGTAAGGGATATTTATGTTCAAAGTGAACAGTCATCATTAAGGCTCACCTGACAAATCACAAGTATGATGAACTCTATTCAAACTGGGAGATGCTGGAAGCAACAAAAATGAGGTTGCAAATTATTCCAGCAAGACAAATTCACAGAGTTAAGACAGATAAAGGGAAGACTAAACATGTTTCATTTGACATTGGCCATGTTTGTGCATTGTCCATCTTCTCTAGCAAACTGCAAAAGTGTGAAAAAAACCTTATGGATAGATACCCAACTGGATTCTGCTGGACAGGTCTGACTCAGAAGGCACTACCCTGGAATACCTACAGCATGCCATGCAGTCAAGCAATTAGTTGGGCATATGACAGCCTAGCAGGCTCAGAAGCAGCATGTGCTAATTGGCCAGCAAATTGGCAGGAGTGCCAGGAGGCCTGTGCAGATGAACAAGGTGCTCCTGGACACAGTTAAATGTGAAAACAAGGTTTACAGAGAGTGGAAGCATGGACAGGCATCCTGGGGGGAGTACAGACAAGCTGTCAGAAAAGCAAGAGATTGGGTAAGGAAGGCCAAAGCAGATAGAATGGGACCCGGCCAGCGATGTTAAGAACAACAAGAAAAGTTTCTACAAGTATGTCAGTGATAAGAAGAAGACAAGGGAAAATGTGGGCCCATTTCAGAAGGAAACTGGAGACCTGGCCATGCAGGACATAAAGAAGGCTGAGGTACATGATGACTACTTTGCCTCAGACTTCACTGGCAAAGGCTCCTGTCACACCATCCAAATTAGAGGACTGTGAAAAGGAAGAACTCTCCACTGCAGGAGAAAAGCAGGTTTATGACCATCTGGAGGACCAGAAGGTGCAAAAGTCCATGGGACCTGACAGGATTCATCCATGAGTCCTGAAAGAACTGGCAGATGAAGTTGCAAAGCCTCTGTCCATCATATCTGAAAAGTCCAGGCAGTCTGAAGAAATCCCCACTAACTGGAAAAGGGGAAACATAAACCCCGTTTTCAAGAAGGAAAAAAAGGAAGACCCAGGGAACTATAGACCAGTCAGTCTTACCTCTGTGCTTGGCAAGATTATAGAGCAGATCTTCCTGAAGGCTCTGCTAAAGCATGAGGAAAACAAAGGGGTGATTGGTGACAATCAACATGGCTTCACCAAGGGCTAATCCTGCCTGACTAATTTGGTAGCCTTCTACAATGGGGTCACAGCATTGGTGGACAAAGAAAGAGCAACCGACATCATCTAACTGGACCTGTGCAAAGGTTTTGACACTGTCTCGTGCGACATCCTGGTATCCAAACTGGAACGATACAGATTTGATGAACAGACCACTTGTTGAGTAAGGAACTGGCTGGCTGGTTGCACTCAAAGAGTGGTGACCAATGGCTTGATGTCTAGATGGAGACCTTTGATGAGAAGTGCTCCACAAGGGTTGGTGCTGGGACTGCTGCTATTTCACAGCTTTGTTGGTGATGAGGACAGTGTCACTGAGTCACCCTCAGCAAGTTTGCTAATGACACCAAAGTGTGTAGTGAGGTTGACAAACTGGAGGGAAGGGAGGCCATCCAGAGGGACCCTGACAGGCTTCAGAGGTGGGCTTGTGCAAACCACATGAAGTTCAACCAGGCCAAGTGCAAGGTTCTGCACCTGGGTCAGGACAATCACAAGCACAAATACAGGCTGGATGGAGAATGGATTGAAAACAGTCTTGAGGAGAAGAAGTTGGGAGTGATGGTGGATAAGACATTGGCTGGCAATGTGCACTTGTAGCCCAGAAAGCCAACTGTGTTCTAGGCTGCATCAAAAGAAGCATGGTCAACGGGTCAAGAGGTGATTCTCCCCCTTTAATCAGCTCTTGAGAGACCCCACCTGGACTACTGTGTCCAATTCTGATGCCCCCAACATAAGAAAGACATGGAGCTCCTGGAGAAAGTTCAGAGGAGGGCCATGAAAATGATCCAAGGGCTGGAGCACCTCTCCTATGAGTACAGGGTGAGAAAGCGGGGCTGTTCAGCCTGGAGAAGAGAAGGCTCTGGGGGGACTTCATAGCAGCCTTCCGGTATCTGAAAGGGGCCTACAGGAAAGATGGGGAAAGACTTTTTACAAGGGCTTGTAGTAAGAGGACAAAGGGTAATGGTTTTAAACTGGAAGAGGGGAGATTTTGGTTAGACATTAGGAGGAAATTTTTTAGTGTGAGGGTGGTGAGCCACCTGTGGTGGCAGAGGTTGCCCAGGGAAATTGTGGAAGCCCCATTCCTGGAAGTGTTCAAGGCCAGGTTAGATGGGGCTCTGAGCAACCTGATCTAGTGGGACCTGATCATGTCCCTGGCCATGCAGGGGGGTTGGAACTAGATGATTTTTAAGGTCCTTTCCAACTCAAACCACTCTATGATTCTATGTTTCTATAAAGAATGGAGAGGCTATCTGGTTAATCTACTGCAACAGCAGATATTACAGAAACATAGCTGCAGAAAAAATACTACTTTAAAGACAGATACTGGCAGTTCCAGTCTTACAAACCACTGAGTATAACATCCTATTTCTGTTTGGTTTTGTCAGCTAGTCTGAGTGTAAACCTATGAAAAAGGCCAGCAAAGTTTGGGATTCTTTAAGAGCTCGTATCACAAAAACGCAATGCTTTCAGTTAGAACTTTCCCCTTATGTTGAAGAGGAAAGTCCCCAACCACCACAAAGCCCACGTTATCAGAGCAAGCCTAGTTGATACTTCCACTGGTTGAAGGCCACAGGATGGGGAGGGAAAGGTGAAAATGGGGAGTTAGAACCATAATTGCTGGAAGCAACTGACAAGTCTTGTTTTTTCTCCACGCTGCAACCTGACACAAGAACCTGTGGTAACAGACCTATGAATCTTCACAGAGAAGAAAACTGAAGACTTTCTAGGATTTACAAGGGACACTTGAAGGAGGGACAAGGAGGAGGAATATTTAAAACAATTTTATACACATTTGAAGTGCTACTAGTAAATGTCTTCTTGTAATGGACAAACAGATGTTAGTTGCTTCACATTAGTTTACTTGAAAACTACAGAACATACCTGAATTACTATGTATTTCAAAAGTGCTTCTAAGAAATAACTTGTTAAATCTTCTTGTCCTTTATCTCCTGATTGTGGAGGAACAAGTGGAGTGATTTCCTCTATAGTCACTTGAGCTATGAAAAAGAAAGAGGGAAAAAAAAAGTAGCACATCTAACAGTTAGACCATTTCTTCTCATGCATAAATATCTACTGAGCTATAAAAGTAGAAATGTACTGGGGTAAGCGGAGACAGTTACAGTCAAAACAATCCACCCATAGACTGCTGAATATGATTCATCAGTGTGTCCAGGTGGCCAAGAAGGCAAATGGCATCCTGGCTTGTATTAGCACTGCAAGTAGGTCTAGGGAAGTGATCCTCCCCCTATCCTGGGCACTGGTGAGGCCCCACCTTGGGTACTGTGTTCAATTCTGGGCACCCCAATACAAGAAAGACATCCAGGTGCTGGAGTGGGTGCAGAGGAGAGTAACTAGGCTGGTGAAATGCCTAGATGAGAAGTCTTATGAGAAGCAGCTGAAGGAACTAGGACTGTTTAGTCTAAAGAAAAGGAGGCTGAAGGGTATCTACAACTACTGGGAAGGACACTGTAGAGAGGTAGGTGCTGGTCTCTTCTCAGAAGTAAATAGTGATAGGACAAGAGGGACAGCCTAAAGCTACACCAGGGAATGTTTAGGCTGAACATTAGGAATTTATTTTTTTCTCTGAAAGGGTTGTCAGGCATTGGAACAGGCTGCCCAGAGAGCTGGTTGAGTCACCATCCTTAGACTTGTTTAAAAGTCATATAGATGTGGTGCTTTGGGATATGGTTTAGGGGTGAACATAGCAGAGTAGGGTTAGAGGTTGGACTTGATTACCTTGATTATTATGGTCTCTTCCAACCTAAGTGACTGTATGATGCTATGATTTTAGGATTAATGAAAATCATGAAATTTTCTGTAGTAAACTACCACAGAACTAATTTCTCACATATACAGAACAACAGCAGACACTAAGTTCTTTCTGTGTCCCTTGGGAATCTACCTGTCCAGACCAAATTTTTCCAAAAGGCATAATCCACTTATTTCGGCATTTATGCAAACAATAGTGTAACATCTGTCTCATACAAACACCAGATCTTTACTTACATCTGTCACGTTTTTCTTCCTTTAGCAGCAGATCAGTTACATTCGTGTTCAGTTTTACTAGCTCAATCCTTCCTTTACCACTACAGCTATGCTACTTCAGAATTTATTTTTCTCTTGATTCTGAAGTTAGGTGTTTGTACTCCATTCTTTCCACTCTGCATTTCTATGCTGCCTACATGCCCTCTAGATTTGTTCCTCCTTTCCTTCTATAGAGATATAACACAAGATAACTCTAAAACAGGGCTTAAAGTATATAACAAACTTTTATCTGCAGAGCTATCGTGACATAAAATTTGTCTGCTACATTTCAGTAAATTTAATCACCTGTCAAGGAGACACTCCTTGCTTCTAACAAGCAATGCTTGTGTACACTCTAAAACATCGGGTGGAGGTAGAAAAATGGCAACAGCACTCATTGTTCAAAGGACAATGTGGTTAGCTTCTTAGTGGCATTATGTGAGTGCACAGTTTGCACATATGACCTCATCCAATTTCAACTCATGAATAAATGAGTTTAAAATTCTACTACTACTAACAGGAGTAAGCTGAGTTACCAGGCAAGAAGCTCCCCAAAGTAACCAGTATTTGATACTTACAGCTAGAGTGAACAGACAAAAGAAAAACTGTCATAAGAATAATCTTAAAGAGAAAAATCATCCTCATTCTATTGCTTAGAGACAAGATAATGATCTTCACACTTTTTAAATAAATAAGTCTAGAAAGCATGAAAAGCTTATCTCAGAATGCTCAAGCTCTTCCACTGATGCAGGTCTTTCAGAACTCAGGTTTTGCAATTTACAAGGTCCAATTTTTTTTGAAGATTCCAAGCCACAGGAATATCACAGCTTTCACTGCCTGGCCATACACAGACAGAGCAGGAAGACGAACCATTTGGATTTACACATTGCCCTAACAACCTCTAAGTCTCTCAAAGGCCAGATCAGAAATTGCTTTGCACAGCTCGTTCCCTAGAGTATAGCCAAAGTCAGTGCAAATGTTCCACACAAGCAGAATCCCCTTGTGCATGTTTGCAGTAGATGCAGCTTCTGCTTGTAATTGTGAAGAAGAATTACATAAAATGGGTCAGTTTTTTTTCAGCCACTATGTGTTAAGCTACTATAGTTGCATTTCTAAAAAAACACAAAACAACAAAGAACACCCTGGAAAAAAACAAAACAAGAACAAAAAATACCAAAACAAACAAACAAAACCCCCCGAAAACCCCAACAAACCAACCCAAAAAAGACAAAGTTGATATTGGAAAAAGATGTGATAAACTGCCAAGAAAATTAACAGCTCCATAACCTCCCTCAGTACATGTGTATGTTAGTTCTTTGCTACTTCAACTTGCCCTTTCTGTGCTGAAAATTGAATTACATAGAGAATTGAGTAATTTTACCAAATTACTTACTTTCTTGAACATTAAGTGGAGGGTTAATGAGATTATCTAGTGTTCGGGGGCCATATTCAGACTGTGGAGATGAAAATCCAGGAATCAAGCAAGAAAACATCCATAATTGTTCTTTACTGCAATTATTTTGAAGCGCTTGCAGCCACAAAAGAAAGAGGCGCACACCCTCTCGCCGTATCTTGAAGGAAAAAAATAGAATGAGTTAACTTGTCCCAGACATACAAAAGCATTTCCATTTGTCCTGGAGGTAAATGGAGAAGGGGAGTCGTAGAAAAGCTGAGGACAGATAGTATGACCACAAGCAATCAGCACTGCCAAGCTAGCACATCTGCTGCCCCTGCTGAAGTGCAAGGACAACCGTGGCACCTTCACTGCTGTTATACCCCCAGAATCTCTTTTACAGGGTTCTCGCTGAAAGAAGAAGAAAACCAACATGTCCAGTCACTTGCTTGACTATAGCACTGCAAGATGCCATGTGAATTTTTCAGAAGATACAAAGACTGCAATAAAATTTCTAAATGTGTTTATGAATTATAACAATGCGGTAAGATTTTTTGCAGCAGAAGGACCCATTCTAACATCTTCCATTTCTTCTTCCAGAGGAGCGACAGAGTCCTAGAGAGGTCCCCTCCTGGCATCAGAGAATTTCAGCACCAGCCAAGCCTGCAGGTGATTTACAGGACTGGCATGGTTGCTTGCTGCAGTATCAAAACTACATGTTACACTGGGTGGTTTTGTTCCATGATCAAACATTACTACACTACACACCAATAGGTGACTTTGGTGTAGATCATCTTCCACTTCCAAGACAGTCTGAGCTACAAAGCCAATTTTCTTGCCCCTAACAATGAATGCTTAAGGCTTACTTCTGCTCTAATGCAAAATCCTTCAAAACACTTGCACACATTATTACCTTGGTACTCTACATAAACACATTACTACTGCAAGTAGTTCTACCAAACTAAAGCTCATGATTTGAATTAATTCTTTCATGACACAGAAGTCATGCTCTGGTTCTCATTCCTGTGCTTTTACCATTAAAATGCACCCTTATGTTCTTACTTGTATTTTTAAGTATTTAGACAAAAGTAGTGTGCAACTGTTTTTCTTACCTTTAATGAATTTCCAGTGTGAAGAAGCTTCTTTAAAATCAACCCTAAAAAGAAGAAGAAAAAAAATTATATGCTTGTTTTTACTTTCTTTATTAAGTACACTGTCAGAGTTCTCGGTCAGACTTGTTAGCAACTTCTAAACAAGTCCTTGGCATTCTCCAATTTAATCTTGGTGAACTTGATATCCTCAGGCAACTTTCTCAATGCCAGAAGGAGACATAAAAGATCACCTTTTATAGCTTCCACATAACCTATAGCAACTTTCCACAAAGACTTCTACTTTGAATGTATAGATCACAAAATGATTCTCAAGTCTTTAATGTACACACTATCAGCATTCCCCATTTACAAACACAGACCTTATCTCAATTTTGAAATCCATTAATAAGAGAGAAAAAGTTAGGTGAAAAAAAAAATATTACAAAGCAGCTTTCCTCCTGCCCTTGTTCTTTCTCAGCCAATGTTCTATTTTCAGATTCCCAGATTTAAGTCTACCTAGAAGAGTATTCATTACATTGATGATAGATTTTTGTGTGTTTTTATTTTTTTTTTCCTTCTCCTAGCTTGCAAGAATTTCAAAACCATAATCCCTTTTATGTCACTTAGAGGTTAAAGAAATGAGTAGCACAAACTATCATAGCTACTAATAAAAAATAAGATTTTTTTTAATTTCAAAAAAGGAAAATAAACTCACCAATACTATGAAATTGCCATCTCTGATGAATCCTTTCTGGAAGGAGTTGCAAAATTTTCTACAAAAAAGCAAACATAATCAAAAGATCTATGTTGCAGATGCTCCTCTCAGAAGACTGAAGAGTGCTTTCACAAAGGCCTGAAATCAGAAGCTGAGGGGTAAATTTGGAAAATTTTCACACTGCTTTCCTTGGAAACACTACTGCCCTTCCAAGATAATCTCCTTCTTAAAGCTACAAATCCCAAAGGCTCTGACAGACTGGCAAGTCCTGCATTGGAGACCTCAGATGTTACTGCAGTTTATCTGGTTCCACTGCCTCTCTGCTGGATACTGCTGCTTATAGCATAGAGAATGGAATGGGAGGATCTGTTTCAGTTGATCTGCTTCACAACAGGTTGTATTACAGAATCACAAAATTGTTCAAATTAGGGAAGACCTTCAAGATCACAGAGTCCAACCATTAACCTAACTCTACCAAGCCTAAACCATGATCCTAAGCACCACATCTACATATCTTTCAAATACCTCCAGGGATGACAATTCAAACACCTGTCTGGGCAGCCTGTTCCAGTGATTAATTACCCCTTCAGTGAAGACATTTTTTCTAACATCCAATCTAAAAACCTAAATCTCCCTGGTGCAGCTTGAGACCATTTCCTCTTGTCCTACCACTTCTTACTTGGAAGAGACCAACCCCCACCTTGTTACAACCTTCTTTCAGGCAGTCTCCCCTCAGCCTCCTTTTCTCCAGGCTAAACAACCCCAGTTCCTTCAGATGCTCCTCATAAAGCTTGTTCTCCAGACCCTTCAGCAGTTTTGTTGCCCTTCTTTGGCCACCCTCCAGCACCTCATCTTTCTAGCAGTGGGGGGCCCAAAACCAAACATTGTATTCAAGGTGCAGCCTCACCAGTGCTGAG